ATGGAAATTTACAACAAAGTGCATCCTTAGGTGTTAAAAAACTGTTCCTCTGCATTTGCTATGCCACTTTCACTCAAATTCAAAAAGTCAAATACCTGAATAATGGAGATAGATAAATATCACGCTGATTTTTAAAAAGAGAGCAAACAAAACAAAAAAATAACTATAGGCCAGTATCTCTTATATCTGTCCCTTGCAAAGTAATGGAGAGTTTTGTTCACAATATCCTAATAAAGAATTTCATCAAAAATAACCTAATCACCAAAGATCAACACAAGTTTCTTCCAAAGCGAGATTGTGCCACTAATTTATTAGAAGCAAGAAATACACCAACAAATGCAATTTCCTTAAGTTATGCCTTCAACGTCATCTATACTGACTTTGACAAAGAACCCCACAAACGGCTCCGACATAAGCTTAAAGCATACAGCATATGTAGAACTCTACTCATGTGAATAGCTAACTGGCTAGAGAACAGACAAAAAGGGTAACAATCAGCAATCATACTTCAGATTGGAAGAAAGTCACAAGTGGTGTTCCACAAGGTTCATTACTTAGATCTTTATTAATTATACTTTATATAAACAATCTGCCAGGCAATAAAGCATATCAAATTAAGATATGTGCTGGTGAAAGCAAGATTTTAGAGGTAATAAAGAGCAAGGGAGATGCTGTAGTATTACAAAATTACATAGACCAAGTAGTAGTGATCTACTGATTTTTTCTCATGATTTGAAAGTGAAGTATCAAGTAGAAGCACCAGCAGCATAAGCCAATAGCATGTTAAGCTCTTTCAAAAAGCTTTTTAGAAGCCAAGGTTTTTCCATATATTTTATTCTTGTACACCGTTTATATCTGACAGCAACTTGAGTTTACCATTTAAACCTGGTCTCCACATCTACAACGAGATACATGTACGCTGAAGTGTATTCAACAAAGAGTACAGAAATCAAGTATAAGTCATATGACGAGAGACTCCTTATAACCTTGAACTCACAACTCTTGAAAAAGAAAAGAAATCAAGGTGATTGAGCAATTTAAAATTGTTCACAGTTTTAAAAAATAGAACTTGCTGTACCAGAGATATATGCATCATCAACGTTGAATTACTACCAACGACGGCACAACCAATGATTAACTAAAAAAGTAGTAAACAATTGCAAAGAGAGGAAGCATTTCTTCACTAACCGAATGCACATGGAATGAACATTGATGTTAAAAGAACAAATAATAGACACAGTGTGTGTCTTTAGGCTGTCAGAATAGCAGTGCCTGGTGTCGCACTACTTCATTAGAATTTTATAAATTTTTTATTGTAATAAATATTTAATATAAATTTCTAATTTCTGAATAAAGAAATTCAAATTCATATATACAAATTTTAAATAAAATTATAAAACTTTTTTTAGATTAAACTTTAAATTAATTGCTTAATCAATAGCTTATTCAATTAAGATTGTTGTTTCAGAATATTTTTTAAATTCATCTATAGGTTTTAAATTTTATTTAATATCCTTCTAATGTTTAAAAGTTGTAACTATGTGAAATTTACAATTCCTTCCTTTTTATTTTATGGGTAAGAAGGGATGGAACTTAACTTTTGCTTGCTATCATTTTTATTTCTTGACCACTTTTGTTTCTCGATATATACTGAAATTATTTTTATCATAAAACTGCGAGAAAATAGGTAAATGTTTTTTAAACCTCATCGACCACCACTTTCCAGTTAACCACAGACTCCGTAAAATATTTAAAAGAAACACAATCAAAATAAGTTATTGCTGTATGCCAAACATAAAATCCATTATCAACTCTCACAATAAAAACACGTTACATGAGGAAGCAAAAGTTAATGAAAAGACATGCAACTGCATTGATAAATCCAAATGTCCGATGAACAACAATTGTCTTTCTAACAGCATTGTTTATCAAGCCACCGTTTGTTCAAACAATCCGGAGTACAAAGAAAAAGTGTATTTTGGACTCAGCGAGACATCTTTTAAAGTTCGATACGCAAACCACCTCAAATCTTTTAATTCAATTAGATATAAAAATGATACAGAGTTATCTAAAGAAATATGGAAATTAAAAGAAAAAAACTTTACACCTTTTGTCAGATGGAAAATTGTTAAACGTTATAAACCATACAACCAACATCAAGAGTGTGCAACCTCTGTTTGAACGAGAAGTTTCAAATTCTAATGTATAAAGGTAAAAACCTACTTAACACAAGGAGTGAAATAATCTCGAAGTGTAGGCACAAAAATAAATTTCTTATTTCCTCCTATGATACCGCAGATTGATCCTGATTGGTTTACGTCACTTTTACGCCACGTGATACTCTTAAAACTTAAAGTTTTGTTTCCATGGAGTCATTAGAACTCACGCCACCGTAATTTTAATTGTAATTTTAAAGTCTATTTTAAATTTTGTAATATATGGCTGATGATTGCCGTTAGGCATGAAACTTAAAGTTCCATAATAAAAGTTTTTTCTTTTTTCGTTTTTAATTATATATATATATATATATATATATATATATATATATATATATATATATATATATATATATATATATATATATATATATATATATATATATATATATATATATATATATATATATATATATATATATATATATATATATATATATACATATATATATATATATACATATATATATATATATATATATATATATATATATATATATATATATATATATAATACATATATATATATATATATATATATATATATATATATATATATATATATATATATATATATATATATTATATATATATATATATATATATATATATCAATCAGATCAATCAGATTTCACATTTAGACATTGTGATAACTACAAATTTGATTATGCTCATGCTTATGTCAAATAAAAATATTTTACAAAAAATTATGACATTTGGAGACTTAAATCAAAATAATCTCCAAAAAGTTTGCAGCCCAACCCAAAATGTAAGGGTAATGTTTATATAAAAATGATGGTGAACTAATAGAAATTGAAAAATCTACTCTTGAGTTGTCAAAACAAAATATTATATGAGTAATCATGTAGATAATATTGAACAAGAAAAACAGGTTGCAGGTAAATTTTTAGACAATTATTGTGTTGGCATAGATATTGCCTGGCGCGCTATCCCAACACCATTTGAATTATTATTATTATACAAAATATTCTAAATTAAAATCCTCACACTTTCTCAGGAGACATAATTTTTTTTTTATGTTTTATTTGCTATGTAGGCATTAGATAATATCAAAGTTTCAAATTTTTAAATAATTAAGTTTCAAAGTAATTAAGCTTGAATTAAATAAATTTGAAATTTAATTTTTTTTTGTAATAAAAAACTTTTAAATTAAAATAAAAACTTATACTAATTTTATGCTCATAAAATTAATATAAGTTTTTAAAAAACTTTGAAAATTAAAAAATAGGTAAACTATAAACTGAAAAGAGAAATAAGCACTAAAAAAATAAGAATACAAAACTAAATTTAAAAATAAAAATCTTAATGAATGATAAAATGAATAAAAAATAAATGAGGAAAAATAAAATTTATTATTTTTCCTAATTTATTTTTTATTAATTTTATCATTCATTAAGATTTTTATTTTTTAATTTAGTTTTGTATTCTTATTTTTTAGTGCTTATTTCTCTTTTCAGTTTATAGTTTATCTATTTTTTAATTTTAGTTTAAGTTTACATTTAACATGTATTCAGTGCATTTTTTAAATGTGCCAACTTAAAACATGCAAGGAGCCGTGGCCTAGTAATAAAAAAAATATATTATATGAATAATCATGTAAGCTGTGCAACTGCAGGTGTCTCCTTGTATCTTATACTTAATTTAAATTCATCAACAGGTTTAAATTTCACTTAAAGATGAAACTTAAAACCTGTTGATGAATTTAAATTAAGCATAAGATATAAGCTTTCTCAGGAGACGCTTGCAGTTGCATGCCTTATATGATCACACATATAATAATTTGTTTAGACAACTTGAATTAAAATTTAGTATTGAATAATTAATTAAAAGATTATATAAACTCAATAGAGGTTGGGGCTGCAAACCTTTTGGAGCATTTTGTTCCCAGCATATATATATATATATATATACATATATATATATATATATATATATATATATATATATATATATATATATATATATATATATATATATATATATATGTATATATATATATATACATATATAAAACATATAATGAATGATATGATATTCAATTCAGAATATAATAACACTATTATTTTATATAACCATGTTATATTTTTATACAGTGTTCTCATATTTTTTTTTACTATAACAGTTTTTCTTATTAAGCACTAGTTAACTTTTATAAGTTAACCAATATTTAATAAGAAACTGTTATTTTTGGAAAAATTAATTTTTTTTAAATTTTACTTTCCGGATTCAATGTAAAAAATTAAAAAAAAGTTTAATCTAAAAATAAATCTTGTAACTTTTTTTTTTTTGCAATACTTTTATGTAAACAAATGTAAAAAATTTTTTTTAAATAAACAACACAAGATTAAGGTTTTAAGAATGTTTTTGCTAGTAAAGTTTATTTATGTAAAAAAAAATACATAAAATGTTATGAAAACATTTTTTTAAATTTTGTTTATATTTTTTGTTGATGTTTTTTGTGTTTTTTTTCCTTCTTTCTTTTTTATTACTTTTATATACATTACTATTCTTTTATAAAAAAAAAATAAAATCTTAAACTTGATATTTATTTTAATGCTCCTTTTTTCCTTAAAAAAAAAAATAATATAAAATAAATAACAGTTTAAACCTTGTCTTACATTTTCTTTTATTTGATCTTGCTTTAATTTCATATAGACATTAAAAATATTATTATGTAGATAAACAGACTGATGTTTTACAAGTGTCTAATATTCAAAGGAAAATAACTTTGATAAGATACTAATTGCAAATATATAAACTTACAAATTGTTTGATTTTTCTTTTTGGTTAAAAAACTGCAGTTCATTCAACATGATAGTGTAATCTTTTTTAACAATCTCAAATACTTTCAGTAATTCAAAATCATTGTCAAAAAGATTTTGAAGTATACCATTATGAATACATTGAACATTTTCTTCTAAGTTTTTTACACGTCTTACTAACAATTGAAAATTCTCTAGAAAGTCTGAATCTTTACAAGTTATAGAAGAACTTGGAAGTGAATATGTTCGAAGCAAGCAGTTACTTTCTTTTCGTGGTAGTTGCAGTACAGAATTGGATATGTTTGAGTGCTTTGTAACATTAGTGTTACTATTTATTTTTATACGATAAGTATCAATTGTATTTTCTGCCTCTGCATGTTTTCTAAGCAAATTATCATATTTATGTTGTAATGCTGAGTAACACTGCCCTATTTCTTTTTGCTTTTTAACTTCTCGTACTAAACATTCTTTGATTTTTTCAATATTTTCAGGAATGGGATAAGAAAAGCAACTACCAGTATTGCTTATATTTGAATTTTTACTTGATTCTGACAGAAACATTACATGTCTTATCTAAAATATTTATCAGAAATAGTTTAATGTTTTGTTTGACTTGATAAAATTTGATTTTAAAAAATAAGGACATTTTTTTAATTTTTAAATTGCTTTCACACCCTTTTTAGAGAGCACAGTGTTATTATTTATTCTCATATATTATTATATCTTACATATATTTTTTGAACGAATTTTATGTTTATAAAATTTTAGACAAATAAATAAATAATTACTATTTACTTTTCGTATCCGTTTTTTAATTTATTGTTATTAAATTTTTATCCGATTTATGTTTTTTATTCGAAACTCTGCGAAAAAATCAAAGAGCGTGATTTCCCCATAGTTACCACGTGCTTATAGCATTATGCCGAGGATTTTTTTAGTTCATTATTTGTGTTACTATGCTTAAATATCATTAGTTTTTCAAAAACCGTCTACTTAATAAGTAGACGGTTTTTGAAAAACTAATAATAATGTTACTATGCTTAAATATCATTAGTTTTTCAAAAACCGTCTACTTAATAAGTAGACGGTTTTTGAAAAACTAATAATATTTAAGCATAGTAACACAAATAATGAACTAAAAAAATCCTCGGCATAATGCTATAAGCACGACATAAGTAGTACTTATGTCGTACTTATGTCGCACCTCGTAATTACTAAATTTGAGACTTTTTATAATTTTTATTTTTGTTGTTGTTGTTGTTGTTGTTATTAAGGTGCTTCCAGAAGTCCTAACAGTTTTATCATAGAGTACCGCGAAAGCCGGGCCATCCCGAAGAGATTTTAAAAGGGGGGTGACTTTTCATTTTTTTGCAGACTAAAGCCAAAAAAAAACTTTTTCCCACAAACTTATCTAAAAAAAAAAGAAAGGTCCTCGTTTTCCAACATTTGCCGACTGCCAACTTGAAATCCCATTTTTCCGACTATTTTATATTTAAGGTGGTACTTGGGTGAAAAAAAAGTAAAAATTGAAAATTTCAAAGTGAATGTTTTTAAGTAAACTAAGCTATGCAGAAAACGCCTAAGTAATTTGTTTCATTTAAAATAATTCAGATGATACTTAACTTTCCATTTAAAAAAAGGCAATCTAAAACTCCAAACTCAACTTTCGTAGCAACGCCCATAGCAACCAATTTTGATTTCTTGAAAGCCTGTAAAATTATGTTTAAAAACCTATGGTTGGTTTGCTTTAAAGTCATTAAATTGTTTTACAGAAATATAAACTTCATGCAAAAAGTCACCAATTAAATACATGTGTTACATGGCATTTAAATTGTTTAAAAGTTGAAAAGCTGCAAGTGAAATAATATCTGTTTATGTTTTTAATCATCGTTTATTTGATTTAGTTACATGGTTTTTTATCTTTTTTTTTTAGCTTTGTTATAGTTAACTTAATTGGTTTTTATTTGTTATTATTTTCTTTTTTTATTCAAGTTATTTAACTATAATGTTCATTATTAAAGAACAACAACAATGAAAAAAAAATTAGGCTTAGTTACACTTTTTTGTTATTATTGTTTTTTTATTCTTTATAGTTGTAATAATAATTAATATTAAAAAAAGAGTCGAGCTATGTTAGAAAGAAAGTCTGGCCACTCAAAAGCATTTTCTAAACGGACATTTAAAGGTAACCAACACACACAAAAAAAAACACAAGAAGAACCAGTTGAGATTCCTCCTTCTAACTTACCTATTTCTTCAAATAAATCTGTCATATTTATCATCAGGTACAACATTACCAAACCAGACCAATAAAGTTTGCATTATCTTTATTCACCAATGACACCAGTTTGTTTACTTGTGTAAATTCTTCAAACCCAACTGTATATTATCGATTTTTATACTTTTTTCTATTGACATTTTTATGGAAATTATTAATTTAGTTGTAACATGCCCTGCATGTGACAAAAAGACTATGAGTCGAACATTTAACGTCTTGAGAAAGCAAGGCTTGTCTATACCATTATTGTTACAATGTTCAAGTTGTTGTTAGTGTACAACCTTTCATTCAAGTAAAGAATGTAGATGCAAAAGCAGTCGTGGTAGACCTGTTTGAGGTTTATGTTCGTTTTGTTTTTGATATGAGAGAAATTGGAAAAAGTTATACCAGTTAGAAAAACTCTGTGGATGAAAAAAGTAATTAGAACAGTGCTTTTCCATTGCTCTTAAGCAAAATATATATTTAGAATATAGAAGGCATCAAATGTGCCCGCATACTCTTAATAGTTGGTGTAAATATCAGGCTGACAAAATAAATGGCATAGCAACATACAAACATAAGGGAGGAATTACCAATTGTTGTCCTTGAAGAGAAAAAGCCTGTTTTTTTTAAGTTTAAGTGATGACAATTTATAAAAAAATATCTTTATGGCAAAACTCAAAATAAGTAATAAATAAATAAGTCACTAAATGGAATGATTTGGAAACGGTTTCAAAAAGATATCTACGTTTGTAAAACCACTGTTGACCTAGGTGTAGCTTCTGCAGTTATAAATTTTAATGATAGTTCAACTGGAACTCTAAAAGTTTTAAAGGGCATAGGTATTCCAGGATTTTATGCAAACAGTTTTGTGTTTCAAATAACAACCAAAGAGTAATGTCAATGGAAAGGAAATCGAAAAAAGCATATTCAAAGAGTTCATATAAAGTTTCACAAATACTAATCAATGTAGAAGAAATGAAGTATGGTTATGGTTTATATTAGAGAGATTTTTATTATTTTTTATTTACGGTCATCAATCATGAAAATCTTTTTGTTTTTGAAAATTTGAAAGAAATTTAGTGATATTTTAGTATATTATTACTTAAATTGCATTTATCTCAAAATTGAATTTTTTGAACGGTGCGTCATATAACTTTTGATTTATTTGAGCTTTACTCTTGAAATTTTATATGGTGGTTATTTTTTATAAGATACAGGTTTAGAACCAACATTTTTTGAAAAAATATTTTTCGGTCCAGAGTTACCCAAGCCCAAAGTTTTATTTTTAAGCTTTTTTATAAGCAAGGTATTTGAATTTTAATTACCTTAGATCTAGTTATGCAATCAGGCTAATTCTGCTCCCATACCTGTAAAATTGTACTATAACCAAACTGTAAAAATTTTGTTATCATTCTACAGGTGGTTTTTTCTGAATTTGACGCACCGCAAAGTGACCATTTTGAGACCTTTGGTCCCAAAAAAGGGTTGTCTGTAATTTTTTTTCTTTTTTTTTTTTAAAAAAAGACATAGTTACCTGTATATAATTGTTGTACCAAAATATCAAATTTAAATAGTAAGAATTAAAGAATTTGGATTTTTCACCCAAGTACCACCTTAACTCTAACCGGCTGGACTTTTAATTTGCACGACTGTTTTTATATTCAGCACTTGATTCTAACACTTATTATTTAATATTTCGTTTTAATAATTAGAGATTTAAAAACTCCTGCATTTCTGTAACCAATGGTTTCCAGTTGTAGAAAAGTTGTACAACAGTTGCACAACAGCTTGGTTCTATTATAGAAACATTTTCTAGCGTTGTTAAGTTGCACATATTAACGTCTATTGTAAAACAATTGTTTGGGCATAAAAAACGAACCAATTTTAGCAACATTTTTTTGCACAACAAAATTGCACAACAGTTGTGCAATTTTGTTGTACAAAAAAATGTTGTTAAAATTGATTCTCTTTTTGGTTGAGACAGTTACTGTTTTTACAACTTCCTTTTTTATAATTATATATTCATATTTTAAGCACAAATCGGTTCTAAATCAGTAGACACATTATTAATGTTAAAAGAAAATGTCTGTCATCATTTTTATAGGCATTCCAACAGTTTGAATTTTGCTTTTACTGCAGATAGAAAACACGCTCGGGGTTTGTTCCTCTTCTGCTGTAAACAATAGTTCTATAGTACTGTTTACTATTAAAAGTAGTACTCATTGGGAAAAAACGTTTTTTGTTTTTTTGTTAATTTTTTTTTCCATTCTTTATTAGATTTACTTATTATTAGATTTAAGATGCATAAATAAAGTAGTAAATATGAAATGCTTCGAAAAAATTATTAATATTTATCAATCGAATAAAAAAAAATCGAGTTTTACGAAATATTAGATAAATATTAATTAGTGTATAGAGTTGTCTTACAGAGTCATTAACTAAAAAGTCTACTTTAAGCACGAAATCTCATTTATTTATCACTAATTAAAAAATAATAAATACACTAAAACTTTATAAAAAGTGTTTTATTCACAGTTATTGATGTTATCTGATACTAATTTTATTTTTTTTATAAACCTTTTTGTTAGAAATTATATTTTTTTTTAAATTATGCATTTTTTTTCAATTTTTCTCATGTTACTAACAATTTTTTATAAAGTAGCTGGAAATTTACTAAAAAAAAATAATAAATACAGTAATAATTAATCTTTTTGTTTTTTATTAATTTTCAACTGTTATTACTTTTCAAACATGTGTTTGACTCCGGTTATTACTTATACCTCGTAGGAAGAGGATTTAGAGGGAGTAATAGCCTCTTCCCCCATATTTATTTAGGAGGAGGGTCACTTTTCTTACCCTTAACCTTCAAATCTCCAACCCTGGCTGTTTTAGTCACTTTCCCTCAAACTGATATGACCTTCCTACTCTACTTAATAATATTTTACTTTATATTTTGAAACATAAACTATGTTCAATAATTTTTTTATGTTAATAATTCAATTTTATTATATTAATATCATTTCAGTTAATTAATTACAATTAGAGTAAAAAACATTGCTGAAGTTAAGAAATACTGCCTTACTTTAATCTGTAAGTATTTTCAATATTTAAAAATATGATATGGTGATATTAGTATGTATATTAGTGAATTTATTTATACAACAGTTTTAACTTAGGATATTATGGATAGAAATTCACATTGCACCTCAGCTGAGCTCTTAGTAATTCAACGGCTTAAAAGCAGTGGAAAGTCTTATAGAGAGATTCAAGAATAAATAAGCGTTCTGTTGGAATGGTTCAAAACGCTCTTAAACCAAAAATATGTGTTAAAACTAGAGGTCGCAAAAGAAAAACAAATTACAGAGAAGATAAATTATTGAAGCTAAAAAAGATACATTTATCTCCAGCAATACCATTAAAAGGATACACTTATCTCCAGCAATACCATTAAAAGAAACTTAGAGTTAAATGTAACAGCTCGAACAATTAGAGGACGTTTAGTTAAAGCTAACTTGTTTTCAAGATCACCTAGAAGTGTGCCTTTATTGAAAAAACGACATATAAAAGCAAGAAAAGATTTTTTTCATAAATATTCTGCATGCACAATTAAGAAATGGGGCACAGTTTTGTGAAC